AAAAAAAAAAAAAAAAGGAAAATTCCTAACCAAAATGTGAAGTTAGAACTTAGAACAATTCCAATGGGAATCTGACTTTGATTTGTTTTTTAGTTACTTTTTAAATATTTTGTACAGTGAAGATGAATATTGACACACTTGGCTTATAGCAACATATAATGAATGATAAAAGGCGATAAATAATCAAGCACTCACCCACGAGCTGTGGCCTTCACCCCATGCAACAATCCTTTTATCTTCCATACTCCACACTTGCACTAAGTCATCCTCTCCTCCAGCCAGAATATATTTTCCATCCGAGCTGTTTCGTTCGAAATTTCGAATCCATCAATACACAAAATAAGACAAAAAAGACAGTAAAAAAGGGAAAGAAATACATCCTTCAGAAAAAAAACAAATAAATAAATTGCTCACCTCCAAGCACAACATAGAAGAGCACCATAGTAGCTCTTTCCACCGCAAACGAGCTCTTCGTTTTTGTAGTCAAACACCCGAAGGTAACCTGCATTCATCAATTTTTTTCAAATGTACAAAATCCAGATATCGAATGTGAGGTCGAATTGCGAAATTACCATCCCTTCCTACTGTAGCTATATAAGCACCGTCCGCTGAAAAACTGATGGCATTTATTGAACCTTGGCATATATGCCATCTAGCAACTGGGTTCTGCATGAAACCATACGAATATAGACGAGTACAAAGAGAGAAATATCAATTCACAAAACAATAAAAAAAGGTATTGAGTATTGAATAAAAATAAAATTATGCAATACCTTACTGTAACGTGCATGGGATACAGAAAATTGAGACGGATCTTTGACCACAGGAAATGAATGTTCTCCATTAACATCTTTGTTCTGAAAATATAACAAGGGGCAAGAAAACTTTTCAGAGAACTAAAGAATTCAGCGAAAGGCACCGTTTCACTCAAATAAAGTTTTTTTTTTAAAAAAAAAAAACCCTTGCCTTTTCATAAATATACATACTTCCATCTGCATGAGCAACTAGGAACGAGCCAAGACCATTTGGAATCCACGCAATACAAGTACACCGACTGTTTAATTTATGAAAAGAAAAATGAGATGCTATAAACGATTTCAATGCGTAGATCAATCAATATATTCTCCCATCATCGAATAATAATAATAAAGATTCATGGATAATAATGAATACTAAATAGCATGGAGAGTTCAGAAATGGAATAGAAAACAAATAGAGGCGATTATTGCCTATTATTAACAGAACCGTCTTTATTATAATGGTGGGCCCCCACAAGTTTTTTACCGGCATCTTGTAATTGCTGCCTTAGCGATACAGAATAAACTGTGGATGAAGAAAGTTAATCCATTCAATATTGGGGTGAAAAATGAAAGACAAAAAAAAAAAAAAAACTTTACTTTAACAACCCAGATAAAGAATGCATACCATCACCAGAGCTTAAACCGAACAGCAAATCATGCCCATCTTCGGCCTCAGAGTCGAACGCGTGGCAAACAGGGTTCGAGTTGCCAAACTGTATTGATTTTATTGGATCCTAAACAGCAACAAATTAAAGAAATAAGCAAAAAAA